TTTTTGTTACTGCCCATCGCTTGAGATTTTCTTCAAACGTTTTGGGACAGAAGATTCAGCCTGTTCCTGTTCATGTCACAGGTGAATTCTGAACCTCTCCACAGGAAGTGATTGCCAAGTGAGACTCTGGGAAGAAAACAGACTAAGACAGAAATGAACTTAAGAGTTCTCCTGGATGAATCAAGACCATTACAATGCCCCAAAGCTGCCTGTATTATTGTGATAATGGAATTCACCTTAATAGCAATGTGCTTTACATTAAAGAAAAATTCTCAATCTATTGGACCTTCACTTAGATATATTTAGGCCCAACTGTTTTTCTCACTGTGTGATTTTAAGTGAATTCAAAGTGGACTGACAGTACTTGCTAAAGTGCAGTGTAAGTTCCAGTTTTTCATAGAAGAATTTAAATAGGGAATTAAATTGGGAAAGTATCACGTATTTTGATGGACTTGTACTAAAAACACACAGTGTATACTTTAAAGATATGCTTTTCTAGGAGCTGATATCTTAAAGTTCTGAATATAAATTCAATGATACCCAATTTATCTGGCATCAAGGAATAAATATGTGGCCCATGAAGCAATGACTTGGAAAACAGAAACTTCTGCGTTCAAGCGCCAACACTGGTTTGTTTTTGTTTTTGTTAGTGGGAAGCTTACTAAAATGTGTAACACATGCCCCCTAAAATATCTTACCCATGGTTTAGGAGGAACAAAATGCACTCTACATATATAACCTTTCAAAATTTCAAGATTATCACTATAAACATCAATGTTGCACAATTCATGTCCTCTGGGAGTACAAATCTTTTCTGAGTAAATTATTTTTGAGTTCTTATGTTTGTTTTTTATAGATTTTCAGTACCTTTACTCATGACTAGACTGTCAGCTGTCACTTTTTGATGTGTCAGAGTGCCTGCCTCCAACTGTTTTCTAATTTGCTACCTCTGACTTGCTGTAGGCCAGGAAACCATTTAAACAAAACCACACCCATTAGAAAGGTATCTAATATTAGAGTAAATAGATTCTAACAGAGGACCAAGTAATTCTCTATTAAGAAAAGTGTGTGAGCTAGTAGAACTCGTGACATATTTCCCCCACCAAGCTTTTATTTTTCTTCCCTTTATTTCTCCGAATTTCTAGATTCTCAATGTTCCACACATTGAGATTATTTATGCAAGTCTTCAAATGCTTCATGCATAGTCTTGATCATTTCATTATGTAAAAAGAAAAGCAACTTCTTAATGGTTTTAGTCCACAACTAACCACAAAATAAGTGTTCACAAGGACCTTTGTGAACACTGAGTCCGCATTTTGATTTATGGATGATCCTGCTTCTGGTGTGTGACCTCCTTCACCTCTGGGTTTTGAACATTTTGGGTGGCAAGTCCAGCAAAAGCATTCTAGAAAATAGACAGGGAGGGTGTGCAGATCTGGATGCTGGCTCTGAATGTAGAACCAGCCACTGGAGACCCTTGGATGAAAGGTCTCAAATCCCCCATTGATTGTAACACATTCTTCTTCTCTTTGAGCATATGGATTCAATAATTGGAGAATACAGGGATACAGATACTTGTTACTCTCCTGTTATAGGTGAGGTGCTCTGTTAAGTGCTGGAAAATCAAAGATTAAGCTGAGGATTTTCAAGTATAGTGGGGGTAACATCCATGTGACAAGAAATTACGATGCAACTCCAGTTACTGTGGGATTAGTTCCAACTTGTGGTGATTCCATGCATATCAGAGTAAAACTGGCTGTTTTTTCAGAAGATCACCAAACTTTTCTTCTGAAGTGCTTCTGTGTGACTTGACCCTCCAAACTTTTGGTTAGCAGTCAAGCTTGTTAATTGTTTGCACTACCCAGGGACGTTTTATATAGGGGCTGATAACAGTGCTATAAAAGGACCTCTGGTAGTGTAGTGGTTACAAATCGGGCTGCAAACCGCAAGGTCAGCAGTTCGAAACTACCAGATGTTCCAAGGGAGAAAGATGAGGTGTTCTGCTCCCATAAAGATTTACAGCCTCGGAAACCCTGTACAGGGTCGCTATGAGTCGGAATCTACTCCACGGCACATAACCACCACCAACAGTGCTATAAAGGAGCTCTGGTAGCATAGTGGTTACGAGTCGGGCTGTGAACCTCAAGGACTGTGAAACTACCAGTCGTTCTGTGAGAGAAAGATGAGGCTTTCTGCTCCCATAAAGATTTACAGCCTCAGAAACCCTCCGCAGGGTTGCTATCAGTCGGAATCTACTCCATGGCACATAACCAACCAACTAACTAACCAACCAACCAACAATACTGTAGGGAAGGGGTTGCTAACTGCAGTTGTGTGAGTTAAGAGGTGTACTGTTAGAGAATTAACAGAAGCATGCATGAGAACAACTCCCAGGAAAAGGCTCTTTCTTGTACTGTGGTCCTGTGCTAAAGTGCAGGCCAGTTTAATGACTTTCCTAACCTCTTGTTGTTGTTATGTGCCATGGAGTCGGTTCCGACTTATAGCGACCCTGCACAGGGTTTCCGAGG